ATATATAAAATAAAAATAATAATAATAAAATAAAATAATAATAGAAAGACAAAAAACCCAATTACAAAAGAGGCAAAGGATCTGAATAGACATTTCTCCAAAGATATATAAATGGCCAATAGGCACATGAAATGACATTCAACATTATTAGTCATCAGGGAAATGTAAATAAAAACTACAGTGAGATACCATTTCACACCCACTAGGATGGCAAGAATCAGAAAGATGGACAATAAAAGTGTTAGTGTGAGGATGTGGAGAAATTAGAACCTTCATACATTGTTGGTGTGAATGTAAAATGTACAGCTGCTTTCGAAAAGTTTGGCAGCTTTTCAAAAAGTTTAATAAAAACTTACCATATGACTCAGCAATTCCATTCCTTGGCCATATCATGAGAATTGAAAACTATGTCCACATAAAAACCTGTATATGATGTTCAAAGCAAAATTACTTATAATAGCCAAAAAGTGGGTACAGCCCAAATGTCCATCAACTGATGAATGGATAAACAAAAATTGGTATATCCATTCAATGGAATATTATCCTGCCATAAAAGGAATAAAATACTGATGCATGCTAACATGAATGAATCTTGAAAACATTGTTAAATGAAATAAGCCAGACATTTTTTCAGATACTACAAAGGTCAGATATTATATTATTCCGTACATATTAAATGTTTGTAACAGGCAAATCCGTAGAGACAGAAAGTAGACTAATGGTTGCCAGGAGTTGGTGGGGGGCAAATGGGGTGACTACTAGTGAGTATGTGCTTTCTTTTTGAGGTGATGAAAATGTTCCAGAATTAGTTATTGGTGATAGTTGCATAACTTGGTGAGTATACTAAAATTCACTGCATTGTACACTTTATAAAGGTGAATTTTGTGGTATATGAATTATGTCTCAATGAAAAAATACATGGGCGCCTGGGTGGCTCAGTCAGTTGAGCGTCTGCCTTTGGCTCAGGTCATGATCCCAGGGTCCTGGGATTGAGTCCCATGTCAGGAGTCTGCTTCTCCCTCCGCCCCTCCTCCTACTCAATCTCTCTCTCTCTCTCTCAAATAATAAATAAATAAAATATTTTTAAAAAATACAACTGGAACAATGGAGGAATTTTACTAAGAGAAGACTAGGGAAGGGACACATGTGGGAGAGAAAGGCAGAATTTGTTTTGGACATGGTAAGTTCGGAATACCCATTAAATACCCAAGTGCATTTCTTTCTTTTTTTTTTTCCAAGTAGATTTTTGAAGTAGGTAATTGAAGTCTTCAGTTCAGGGGAGAGATATGGGTTGGAGATATAATTTGGGAGGAAATGAATTAATACATATAAAACACTTAAAATAGTTCCTGGAACACAGTAAGATCTATAAATGTTAGTTATTATATTTATTATCTTGTATGTACAGAGTAATAGCCAATTGTCCTAGCACAATTTGTAGAATCCTTTACTCCCTCACTTTTTATTTTTTTTTAATTTTTTTTAAGATTTTATTTATTTATTTATTTGAGTGAGAGAGAATGAGAGACAGAGAGCACAAGAGGGAAGAGGGTCAGAGGGAGAAGCAGACCCCCCACTGAGCAGGGAGCCCGATATGGGACTCGATCCCAGGACTCCAGGATCACGACCTGAGCCGAAGGCAGTCGCCCAACCAACTGAGCCACCCAGGCGCCCCACTCCCTCACTTTTTAAAAAAGATTTTGTTTTTAGGTAATCTTTACAACCCAGTGTGGGGCTCGAACTCACAACCCCGAGATCAAGAGTTGCATACTGCACTGATTGAGCCAGCCAGGTGCCCCGATCTTTTTTTTTTTTTAAGTTTATTTAAAGTAATCTCTACACACAACATGGAGCTGGAACTCACAACCCTGAGATCAAGAGTTGCATGCTCTTCTGATTGAGGCAGCCAGGAGCCCAGACTCCCTGATTTTTAATGCCACCTCTGTTACATACAAATATCCCATTTATACTGAGGGTCTTTTTCTATCATTGCATTCTTTTAAGTAGAAATTGTTTTAGGGGAGAGTAGATTGGAAGCCAAGACTTCTCTCAACTTTTCTCAAATCACTTCACAAGAACATTAACTGATTCTATGCTTCTGTTTCACCTTTGTTACCTAAGAAGAAGTCACCTGGATTCCTTCTACCTTTTAGAGGCTGCTGTGAGAATGGATGATATCCTAGGCAGGAAGTTCAGAAAGCCAAGTAATACAAAGCTGCAGAAGGAAGTTACCTGAGAGAAAAGAGATTCTGTAGGTAGTACTTTGAGTCCATTAATTCTACTTAAAACTATGGTAATTTTTTAAAGTTGTTTTTTTTTTAATTGTGGCAAAACCCCACATGAAGTAAAATGTACCATCTTGGTTACCAGATGAAAACAAATTTTAATACAGTCTTTGCATTTGATGTTTAACCCAAAATCTTCCCAAGGCTGTCTCCTCCTCATAGTTCAACTGCTGATTCACATTCCTTCTTCAAAGAGGCCCCACCTACATTACTCTGAAGCACTCTTCACTACTGAAATAGTTGTGTTTATTGGCTTATTAACTGTCTCCCTCTCCCCACTGAGATGTAAGTTCTACCTGAGCAGGGACCTAGTCTGTCTGCTCTTCTCCCCATGCCTGGAACAGTGCCTTGCACCTAGTATGTCCTGTTAAGTATTTATTGAAATACTTGCTGAGTAGTAAGTATAGTGTTCTTCGATTCCCAGTTTTATATATTTTATCTCATTTGATCATTACAACTCTTTGAGTAAAATGGGCTTACTAACCCCATGGTAAAGAGACTCAGAGAAGCATCTCACCCAAAGTCACAGGCCAATTAAGAAACAGGGTTGGAGGGGCGCCTGGGTGGCTCACTCGTTAACCGTCTGCCTTCAGCTCAGGTCATGATCCCAGGATCCTGGGATGGAGCCCCACATCGGGCCCCCTGCTCGGCGGGAAGCCTGCTTCTCCCTCTCCCACTCCCCCTGCTTGTGTTCCCTCTCTCGCTGTCTCTCTCTCTGTCAAATAAATAAATAAAATATTAAAAAAAAAAAAAAGAAAAGAAACAGGGTTGGGATTGCTACTTAGGTGGCTTGCTTTTTTCCAATACATTCACTCCAGTTCTAGGGCTAAGGGTATTTCAAATTACTTTCCAATTAAGGAAGTGATGACTCTGCAGGATAGTAGAAACAACCTGCACATTTATTTACGTCTCCAGTTCCTGCAACTGGAACCCTTACTATCCGCACCCCACCCCTTATGCAGTCACACACACACACAGAGCCGGGTTATGGCCACAGTAATATTATTCTAAGTGCAAAGAAGAAAATGCAATTACTCGACTGTTTGGAAACCTGAATCCCCTTGTGTGTCGGTGTGGGGGGGGTGGTTCTCCCCCCCCCTTTTTAAACAGCTTCATTGAAGTATTAATCTTCTCCTGGGTTTTTTGTTTTTAAGATTTTATTCATTTATTTGACAGACACAGCGAGAGAGAGAACACAGGCAGGGGGAGTGGGAGAAGCAGGCTTCCTGCCAAACAGGGAGCCCAACGCGGGGCTGGATCCCAGGACTCTGGGATCATGACCTGAGCGGAAGGCAGACGCTTAACGACTGAGCCACCCAGGCGCCCTATCTTCTCTTGTTTCTAAAGTGCGCTCCTTTAGGGAGACCAGGGAGGAGGGAAAGTGCACTCCTTTGAAATAATCTCATTCCCTAGAATATTTACTTCACCTTTTGAGCGTCCTGACTTTTATGAGCTTTTCGTTTATTTATTTAAATAATCTCCATACCCAACGTGGGGCTTGAACTCATGGCCCCAAGATCAAGAATCACAAGCTGTTCCGACTGAGCCGGCCAGGTGCCTTTACTTCACCTTTTGGATGTCCACCACTACAGGCACCCGAACGGATTCCCTTTCCTTTTTCTTTTACCCCTATATTCCACAGCCAAACACGTGTAACTGTATGTACTCAATTCGCTCAGCCTCTCTCTGCAGTCCAGTCCAGCCCACCAAAAGCCCGGCCCCTTCTTTTTTCCCGAGCCCCGCCTTTCGGCCCCTTTCCAACTTAGGGCCTACGGATCTCGCCCTTCCTTCCCCCCCCGCCACCCGCCGCAGAACATCTCGCGAGAGGTGAGCGCCCCTGGCCGGACGAGAAGAAAGTATCTGCTCCTCTGAGGGGGGAAAGAAGGAGCTGGAGACAGATTGTGGGAACGAACGCGGGCGGGCGGGAGGCGACGGAGCTACCAGCGGGTGAGTTCTTTTAACATTAACTAGTCCATGATCTGGCGGAGTCTCTCTTTCAACTCTGGCCACTCTCAGTGTCCCAGGCCGGGGTCTGCCCTCCCAGTCGGTGTTGGACGGGGGTGCTGAGGCGGTGGCCAGGCCCTGTCTGAGGAAGTGGGTGGGGCATGGACTAATGCCGACCAATAAAAGAGAAGGAAGCTACGATTGGCGGCGATGAACACTAATGAGAGATCGTCTTTACCTTGCGGAGTGCCGCCCCTCTTCTCTGCGTCCTACCGCCTCCTTCCTCTGGGGGAGAAGGCGGGGCCAGAGGCCTGAAGTGTGGGGAGAACTTGGGGTAAGTAGCCCCGGGGGGCACAGGGCGTGGCAAGGAGAGGGGAGTTGAATCCTGAGGGAATGGAAGTCTAGTAGAGCCTAATGGGAGGATCATGGGATGGGGTGGAATGGGAGGAAGGGGAAGGGTACTAAATTGGTTGAAGACTCAGGCTTACCAAAGTGGGGTTAGGGGCTTGGCATTGAAGAGCTAAGGGTAATAGGTAGGAGGTAGGGAACAGTAGGTGAAAACATGGCATTGGGTTTGGTTGGAAAGATAGGTAGAGATAAATCATTGGAAATGAGAGTCATGGCATTTCGATTGAATTATGAAAAAGAATAGGGACATGATTTCAGAGAGAAAGTATGAATTTGGAGAAAATTCAGTGAATGGGTTTAGAAAGACTTAATAGAGGTGGGCTTACGAGCCAAAAGGTATCACTTTGGGAAGAGTATAAGGGAATTCGGAGGGGTAAAGGAGGTGTTTGGAAAGGAGACAGCTGATATATACAGGCCTTTAGCCTAGGTATCAGAAGCAGCCTAGGATATTGATTTGGGGCTTTTGCTGTATATGGCACCTAGTCTGGTGACCAGCTTGCAAGAATAGTGGGGTAGGGGTAGAGGAGGAGAAAAATAGAACGCTTTCATCGCTTCTACTCTGATTTCCTTTCTCCCTCTCTTACTCTTCCTACACTCATCTCTTCCTTAACTCAGGGATGGGGGCTTGGGACTTGAGCGGTACATGTTGGAGCCCCATTGGGAGTCATGTTGCTCTGAATTGCTTGTTATGTTCTCTAACTGGGGTGTTTACTACCCAGGGCACCTCCTACCTAGATTGCTGCGTTGCTACTTTCCTAACTTTAAAAGTTTGTTTTCTACTTAACAGAGGGTGTTTCAGTATCTCCAGAGGTTGTGTCATAGTAAGTGTAGGTTTGTGGGGGTGTACAGAGTTTTCTGGGCAAGCTCACTTGATTCCTATATTTAAAAACTTTGCAGTAGTGTAAGAATTCTTGTAAAGACGGTTTAAGCACAGAAAAATATACTAAACTGAAGTTTGTTTTGTTAAATGTGTGTCTTATCCACTCATATTCTTGGAGTTTGTTAAATGGATGGTTGCAGTTAGTTTTACTTAGCTTATGTTATATATTTTTAAATGGTGTAAATAAGATGGACATATATTTCAGGAAAGTGAAAAACTTTCAGTTTCTTCCTTTGTGTCTAAACTCAGAAGCCAAAGATATGTCATAATATCTTAGGGCAGGGGTTGAGGAAATCAAACACAATTTGTACTTAAACATGGGAGGATGTAAGGTAAGTGGAGACTATTGCGAAATGTAACATGTCTGTAAGAAAAGAAGCTAAAGAAAAGTTTGGCAGCTATACTAAGTAGTCTTACCAGTTTGTTCTTAATTCTGTACAGCAAAGGGACAAGCCTTTGCCCTTTGTTTGATAGTTGTGTGTTATTTTTTTTTTTTAGATTTATTTTTATTTTTTGTTATTTATTTGAGAGAGAGAATGAGAAAGAGAGAGCACATGAGAGGGGGGAGGGTCAGAGGGAGAAGCAGACCCCCTGCCGAGCAAGGAGCCCGACATGGGACTCGATCCCGGGACTCCAGGATCATGACCCGAGCCGAAGGCAGTCGCCCAACCAACTGAGCCACCCAGGCGCCCAGTTGTGTGTTATTTAATAATGAATTGAACTAATACGGCCAGTTAATTAAGAACTTGTTTGCTACTGCATAGATTTGTCTTTTACATCCTTCTCTTCTTTTACTTTTGAGAAGCAAAATAATGTCTGAAATGCCGGTAAAGCTCTTATATGAAGAGAAACCAGAGTGTGTTGCTTTGTATTAACCTTTGGTTTTCAGCAACCATTTGAAGCTTTTTCTCCTGGCCAGAAAGTTGCCCCTACAACACGTTGAGACCAATTAATTATTGACCCTTTAGCATTAATTACTGAATTGGATTCCAGTATTTCACATTCAGAGCAGTGCTGTTGGACATTCAGACATTTTCAGTTTGCCTGGCAGCAGAACAAAAAATACCCAATGAAAGAGCAAAGCCCCTTGTTTTATTCTTCCGTTCTCGAATTTGTGATGGCTTTAACTTGGGCACTATTAAATGCAAGATTTTTTTTTTTTTTAAATCTCATCAGTGTTAACACCTAGCAGAAAGCTAGGGAGTGGCAACACTGCACATCTTTAAACTTGTGGATCAAAGGTTGCATCCTATGATGGTTTCAGTGTTGTAATTTTTAAGCATTTTTGTTTACCAGGGCTTTTAAATGTTAATGGATACTGCTACTGTACCTCCTTTTTCTTTCCTCTCCCCACTTCCAACTCAAAATGAAAATTGTTTTTTTCAACCAACTCTTAAGCTGCTTCTTTGCCTCAAGTAAAGTCCCTGGCTCTGCCTGAACACAGCTGCTCTGAAGTTCTCACAAGTTACTGTTTTGTACATGTCAAGACGGAGTTTTTCCTAGCCTGCAGTAGGAGGGAGTCAGTGTTAAGCAGCCTCATCCACGTCTGATAAGGAGGAGCCTTCTCCTTGCAAGGAAGTTTTAGGTGGAGCAAATAGCATTGCCATGTAAATGTATAACAAAGACAGCTCTCTTCTTGAGACTAGTTGGCAGGCTGGCATATAATTGTTCCTTATCCCTTGATAAAGGTACTAAAATTAAGGTGCAGATGTTGTTTCTTTCAGAAAAACAAATGCAGCATTCATTTAAAAAGCAAAAGCGTTAATTTCTTTTGTTGTTGGTTTCTCTGGAAATGGTACTCTGATTTTAGAGTTCATGAAAAAGTTTTCCATCGGGTGCCTGGCTGGCTTAGTCGGTGGAGCATGTGACTTTTTTTTTTTTTTTTTAAGATTTTATTTATTTATTTGACACAGAGATAGCAAGAGCAGGAACACGCGCAGGGGGAGTGGGAGAGGGAGAAGCAGACTCCCCGCTGAGCAGGGAGCCCACTGCAGGGCTTGATCCCAGGACCCTGGGATCATGACCTGAGCCGAAGGCAGACGCTTAACGACTGAGCCACCCAGGTGCTGCACTGGAGGTTTGCTTTTAGAACATTCTTTACATTGTGCTGAAGCTCTTTAGTTCTGCCATTTGCAGCTACAATAAATAAACCTAATTCCTTGTCAGCATGGTAGCCCTTCAAGTATTCGATGACAGTTATGTAGTGGGATAAATAACCCAAGTTATTTCAGCATTCCTTAAGTGACCATTTTTAATAAAGTTCAGGCTTCTCATGAACTGGGTTGCCTGTATTTAGGGTTTCTTTCTAGATCTGAAATACAACACCTCAGGTATAATCTGATCAATACAAAGTACAGGGGAGAGTATGGCCTCTTTTCTGCTGTGCTCTGTACCTCTGTTCTTAAAGCCTAAGATCACGTTAATTTGTGTAATTGATTTTTTAAATGTAATTGATGACCTTACATTTATCCTTGTAATTGTCATCTTGTTAATTTGGGCTTATTGTTTTAGCTTAATAATGTTATTTGGCCTCTTAGCCATTCCTCATATCATATCCTGATGTTTGTATCATTGATAGATAAATTTTATAAATGAGACATAAATACCTATGTTTTTGGTTTAGGTCACTGGTAAAAATATATAAGGGTGGAGCAGTGCCATATAACATCAGCATGCTCTCATTAGGTTGATATTAATCCACTTATCAACCTTTTGGGTAAAATTCAATTATGAATCAACCTTCTGTTTTATCATCTAACTTATATTTCCTGTGAAATATTAAGAGGTATCCTGTTGAAATCTAAATATATTGTCTCTGACCTATCCCTAAGCTCCTAGGCTAGTGACCTGTTAAAAAATGAAATGAGGGGGCGCCTGGGTGGCTCAGTTGGTTAAGCGACTGCCTTCGGCTCAGGTCACGATCCTGGAGTCCCAGGATCGAGTCCCACATCGGGTTCCCTGCTCAGCAGGGAGTCTGCTTCTCCCTTTGATCCTTCCCCCTCTCATGCTCTCTCTCTCTATCTCATTCTCTCTTTCAAATAAAAAAAAAAAAAAAAATGAAATGAGGGGCGCCTGGGTGGCTCAGTTGGTTAAGCGACTGCCTTCGGCTCAGGTCACGATCCTGGAGTCCCAGGATCGAGTCCCGCATCGGGTTCCCTGCTCAGCAGGGAGTCTGCTTCTCCCTTTGATCCTTCCCCCTCTCATGCTCTCTCTCTCTATCTCATTCTCTCTTTCAAATAAATAAAAAAAAAAAAAAAATGAGGGGCGCCTGGGTGGCTCAGTTGGTTAAGCGACTGCCTTCGGCTCAGGTCATGATCCTGGAGTCCCGGGATCAAGTCCCGCATCGGGCTCCCTGCTCAGCAGGGGGTCTGCTTCTCCTTCTGCCCTCTTCCCTCTCGTGCTCTCTGTCTCTCATTCTCTCTCTCTCAAATAAATAAATAAAATCTTTAAAAAAAAAAATGGAATGAAATGAGGTTAGACATTAGTTGCTGCCTAGCTAGGTCATGCTAGTGTTTATAAATCACTGCATTACTTGCCAGTTGTTTATAAGACATCTATTTAATAATTCCCCTATTTTTTTAAGTATAATTGCCCCCCCCTTTCCAACATTGCTGGTCCTGTTTCCTTTATTTTTAATTTTTAAAATAATTCTAGAATGATTAACAGTGCTTCTGCATAGTTGCATATTTTGTGTCATCAGATGAAATTCTGTTTTGGAATCTTTGGCATTTTAAGTAACATATTAAAAAATTAACTATTGTCCATGTAACAGTTATATCATAGCTTCCCCATAATATTGACATCTCCAGTCTAGACCTAACTTTTCGTTTTGTTTGGAATAAAAACCTACACTACCTGTAAGAAAAAAGACACCACACACACATACACACACACATATAATTGACTTTTATAATTATAGTTTATTGATGTGGTGGGCTAAGTTTGTCATGCTCTGTGCTATAGGTAAAATTGTGCTAGAAATAAGCCAGAACATCAGAAGACATCTCTAGAGACTAAAGACTGTGTTGGCAGCCAACAACTTTCCT